AAAATAAAATTTATTAGGGTTTAAAATAGATTTTGATCAATTTTTGTTTGTTTTTAAGTATAATCTAATATATTTCATATTTTTAAATCACTATAAAAAGAGTCTTTTACATTTTATTTCAATAGTTAATGGCTTTAAGAATAATTGATTTTAAATGTCTATAAAATTATTTTTGACGAATACCTGAACTAAATAAATAAAAAAATATTTACAATTATTAAATGAAATGATTATAATAAATAAATAGATAAAATTGTGCCATAAACAAAAATTATTTTTGAGCTAATGATTTTTTTTTTTGTAAAGATATTTTTTTAGACAATACTTTACAGCTAACTAAATAAAATTATTTACAATTAAGTATTAAATGAAATGATTATAAAAATAAAAATAATTGTTGCCATAAACAAAAATTATTTTTGAGCTAATGATTTTTTTTTTTTAAGATATTTTTTAGACAAACTTTACAGCTAACTAAATAAAATTATTTACAATTAAGTATTAAATGAAATGATTATAAAAATAAAAATTGTGCCATAAGCAAAAATTATTTTGAGATTTTTTTTTAAGACATTTTTTAGACAACACATTATAGTAACAATATAAAAAAATATTTACAATTAAATATTAAATGAAATGATTATAAAATAAATACAACCACTGTTTATATATTTTTATTTTACGTGCTAATATAATGAAATAAAATTTAAAAATAAATTATAAAGAAAAAAAATTCATACAAGATTTTTCTTTGAACTTGAATCACTTGAGTATTCATTCTTTTTCTGTAAGATTTTTTTTTTTTTTTTTTTTGGAAAAGAAAACTATTCAGAATATTGTAACGGTGTGCAACAAACCATTACGTACCACCCTTACGTAACACCGAAACAATAGTTACACACAAGGTTTTAAAAAGCGGCCGCAACCGTTACGTAACGGTTGTGGTGGTTACGGCCACTTTTGCAGTGTGATTAGATTCACAGGTGTGTGGCTGTAGCGGCTGCCGTGGCAGTCGTAACGGTACCGTAACAACCGTAACGGCCTGTTACGCACCGTTACGTACGGTTCCAAACTGCATCTTTTGAAAAAAACACAAAAAAAAAGAAGCTAAAAATGAGGGAAGAGGATAGAGAGAAGAGGGAAGATAAAGAGAGAAGATGGAGGAGCAAGAGATAGAGAGAGAGAAGAGGAAAGATGAAGAACATGTTATTGATTTGTTGAAACTGTAAGACCTATGCTATTTATTCAGCTGCTATCACTCAACCATTTTGTTTGTGATGTGTCTATCTATATATTGTTTGATTAATATATAATAATATAATATAATATAATAATAATAATAATAATAATAATAAGTGTGGTCATTATCTATTTGGCTTGGTTAATATATATATATATAATATATATTTAGACTCTTATTTATTCTCTTACTTTTGTCATTATTTATCTTATATATAATAGTTAGTGATTGGATTTTTTGTATAATATAAAGTCATTAATTATTAAAATAAAATGTAAAAAACTCAGTTTATAGTGATTTAAAAATATAAAATATATTGGATCATACTTAAAAATTTACAAAAATTGATCAATATTTATTTTAAACTGTAACGCCCTCAAAATAAACCCATAATATCATATAGTCAAGTCACAGGAAAGAGATATTATATTACAATCGCCAGAGTATCCTTACAAAATGTATTACACATTGACAACAAAAGTAACTGCCCTGTAGGCTTACAACTTTCCAAGCCAACACTTGGTTACAAAAAGAGAGTACTAACTCAAATACATATTAAGCCCTTGGCTTGCATTTACATGAAATACATCCAAAGAAAACGAACAACAAAATAGTCTGTCTGCCTTTAGCCTCCCAAGCTATGTTCTTGGAGGTGGCATACCATCAGTACCTGAAAATGAAGTCCCATATAGGGTGAGCCACAGCCCAGTAGAAATACACTAAACTAACTATAAACAATGACTAAAACAATAGCATTAGATAGATGGTCCACACTTATATTCCAACTTATGTCATATTACAATTTCATGACAATCATGCCCATGCTATATTTCACCTTCCATTCCTTATTCGTCATCAAGTTTGAAAACAAGGTTCAGAGTCTGGCCAAATAATTTAATGAGATTATAACTCATCACTAAAATACTTTCGAAATTCATTATGGATACACATTTTGGTGTTGTATCAATAACACATAAAACCGCTTCATACTTCACAAATGATAATGATATACATTTTAGTGCTATATCAAATCAGACAAACACTTCTATACTTCACAAATGATACACATTTTAGTACTGTATCAATCTCAAACAAAATCCGGTTTAGAGGTCCATCCCCCATCTTCCAATAAACCGTGGAGTACATCCCCCATCTCCTCCCACACAATACAATGTATATAAGCAATTATCATATACAAATTTAATCAATCAATACAAAATTTGATGTATTATACCAACCGCTGCGTTCGATAATGTACCCAATTGATTAGTTATAGTTTGCCTAATCATCATGCATTGTCTACAACAATCAAGACTATCCTCCACCGATAGCCCAAGCAGTTATTTGTAAACTGAAAATAAATGCACAAAATGGATAAAGTATCAACATTTTATCTAGGTGAGCGATAAATTAATCCAACACCCTTTGATCCCGTACCTTTCCAATTTGAATATTTCCTATTCAATTTCTCATTTTCCTAAATTAATTATACAAATTAATTTATCATAACTGTTAGGGCTTTTTCCCACATTTACAATACCAACTCTAAGGTTCCGTTTTCCATCAATAATCCAACACCAAGTCCATCTTCCAATGTATTACATACATAAAGGTTTATATGTTTGAAACCCCATCTTTTGAAAATTACATAAAGACCCCAAAACCTTCTCAAAATTACCCAACAATCCCCAACATATCAAAATGCCAAAATTTAAAGACAAAGCTCATAAGATGGAGTAGGATATCCCTACCTCGAAGTTGGAGCTCAAATGGAGAAGAAGACCAAACTCAAAGTGCTCCAAATTCCAAACTTTTCGGATCAAAACGCAGCCCTCGACGATCAACACACTTTTTTGTAAAGGCCAAAGGGTAGGAGAACACTCCAACTAGATCAATCCTAAGAGAGAAGAGAGATTCTAGAGAGAGGAGCTCTCAAAAGATATTTTTAGAAAGTAAGAGAGAGAGAGAGAGTGTAAAAAGTGATTCAAAATATCACAGCTGCCAACTGATATACGACTCTCCCGCTCGAGCGGAGAACAGGACGCTCGAGCGTCAAACACAAAAACTGGACCCGCTCGAGCTCAAGAAGGCCAGCTCGAGTGCCAAGACACAAGAATAAAATACATCCGCTCGAGCGCGAAAACCAGTTCGCTCGAGCGTAGATTCTCCTCTCATAGTATTTTCACAGACAATGAACACCACGCTCGAGCGCCAACAGATTCGCTCGAGCGTAACGAAACCCGCTCGAGCGTGAAAAACACATCTGCAGAAGTTTTGCAGAGGCACAGATACTGGAAGTGTGAAAACTCCGCTCGAGCGTGAAATGGTCTGCTCGCGTGGACAACCAAAAATCTAACTCTGCTTGAGCGCAAAGGTACCCGCTCGAGCGTACCACCAAGACTCTGGGCAACAAGGAAAGGGACTAAGGCTCAACCCACCTGTGCGAAACGCGCCCAACACATCCTAAAACTCAGACATATAGAATTAAAGGACGACAACAAGACATACAACCACCAACTCCACGGAACCTAAGTCCGGAACACTGTACATAAAGGGGACAAACCCGGGATCGCTATATAAACCCAATAAATATAATCATGGAAAAAAATGTGTAGCAGTAAGTTTTTTTCAAATTGTGTAAAAAATAAAAAGATTCACGATTCCGGTTACTGCAACCGTTATGCTACAGCCTTTACACCCCGCAACCGCAACCGCGCCACCGCAACCGCGCCACCGCCACCGTTACGGCGACCACAATCGCTTTTCAAAACCTTGGTTACACGTGAATTTCCATCACACCGCAAAAGCGGGTGTAACAGGTAGCGCTTACCACCGAAACCATTACATAACGGCTGCAACCGTTACGTAACACCGCTTTTTGAAAACATGAGCTAATTAATGAGATTATTGCAATTAAGAGTTAATTGTGATAAAACTTGTTCATTGTAACGTACTTATCAAAAAACAAAAAAAAACATCTTTGTTATAAGATCAGGAAGATCATCAATCCTTGTGGGACAAGATAGACTTGGTCCTCAAATATGAGAGCTATTATAAGAGCTAGCACTCCAGAGATTGACATCTGCCTCTCATTGTCTCTCTAGAATACTTGTGAGCTTGACAATGCCTTTGTTATAAGACTTTTAGAGGTCGGATGCTTGAACTACTTTTGAATTGGAGTGAACTCAAAAATCAAGCAAGGAACTGAATTTTGTGTTTGAGGTATTGTTCAAACTATTTCTATGGATGTTTGTATCTATGTTTCATATATATCACAAATATAATCATGGGGATTGAGAATCAAAATAAATTTTAAATTCCTTTACGCCTAGCCTAGGTACGCAATTTCCAACAGCTCCTCCATGCTAGTATTTGGATGGAGTAACATAGGCAATCTTTTGAAGGACTGGAATTACCTAATCTGGCATTAAAACATGCTGATGTGAGATCCCCATATTTGGTTAGCAGGGATTAGGGAAAATCCTCCTTCCATATTGATTTTTCTGTTTAGAACTTGGGTGGAATGAGTCTACAGCCTACAGGCTTGTTTTGCTTGCTAATATACATCTACATCCTATCCTATGTACATGGTTGCCCCCATTTGATGCATTTTCCTGACAGAACATTACTTATTAAAGAAGTCAAGAAAAAGAAATAGTAGCTACCTTCAGTGAGAACAGCCACTCTAACCGTCAGTGTTCCCTTGGGTAAATTCACCTATCATGAAAGAATTAGAACAACAACAGAAACTAATTGTAGTCCATGAGATTGCTACCGTATTTCTCATTACAATTAATCAAATGCAGGGAAAACTCACTGTTGCCCTCAGCTATTGATCGTTGTATTTTGGGTCAATGTTGAGACGGAAATGAGCTTCAACTGTTTCGACAAACTTTATGCTTGCCATTTGCTTGAGCAATGATATTGCTGTTTTTAAGTCATACTCTTTCTTGTTTTCCCTCAATTTTTGAATTTCCAAGAATCTCTTAGACCTTCTCTAATAATCCCAACAGAAGGAGGATAAGGAGTAAGTTAAAAATGCAGTAACAACATGAATGTGAAACTAGGAGACAGCAATGTGAAAGTATGGGGGTAGACAACTTAAACAAACCAATGAGGAGACAAGACCAGCAACAACAGTGATAAATATCACGTTCGGGATTCATGCAAAGCAAATTTCTGATTTTAAAAGGCAATATATGTCAAGAATTTTTTAAACGTGAGGTCTTCTAACTCTTGTTCTCTAACAATTTACAATTTATAATAATTTAAAACACAAGGGCTTTTAATCATTTTGAATAATTTGAGAATTCAGATAAAATTGCAGAATTATTGTTAATATTCAAGACCCGATTATATAAAAGGCATTCTTCTCAAATGATCATGAACTATGACAAAAAAAGGTGTTCTCAAAACTTGAGAATGAACTAATACTCTACTGCAACCACAACCTGTATAGCCAAACTTAAATAAATAAATAAAGGGCAAAACCACTAGATATAGCCAAAGTTTGTAGATAATCAAAAGACAAAGAAATGAAGAAACAAAAATGTGACATACAATCTTTTTCAGACGCTACAATGGAGGATTCTAAGGGATTGAAGTGCATAAGTCATCATTAAGATAAAACTCAAGCAAAAACAAGTAAATAAATTACTATAATACACCAACAATACATGGTTTCAATCTCTCATATTGGTTTCCTATAACTAAAACTCCAAAATAAACAGAAATCAAACAAAATTATATATGTAATTCACTACACACATCCACAATGCAAGAAAAACAAAATAAATACCAATTAAAATAGATCTTAACTAGCACAATCTATTCCCAACTCAAGTATAAGATTCTTGAAACTAAAAATTTTACAATCACAGTTAAATTAAATGTGAAAATCAAAGAAACCCAATAAATTAAATCACTAATGTGTCCGGAATTCAAGAGAGAGGGAAATAAGGAATGAGATTACACATACTCTGTCACTCTTGAGAGGCAATGCAGCTTTGCCTTTCTTGGGCTTAGTTGGGGTAACAACGACACCACTTTCCACAACACCCTCTTGGAGTTGTTCAGTTTCTTCTGCTACCTCTGCTTCAGCAGCCAAAGTGGCCACAGCAACTGGGGAATTGGGTGAATAAAATGAATTTTACCCTTACAATAATTGTGTAATGAAATAAAATTGTTATGCAACTAGAATTACCCTTCTAATAACTTGCTAAATGATTTTTCTCATCTATCAAACTGTCACTAAACAGTGTTCTCATTTATCATCAAATCATCCACAAATTTAAATATAAAATTACAAATGCATCACATTTGTACCTAACACTACATGTAAAATTTAAAATAACTATGACAATTATCTAAAGCAATTTACATCTGAGAAAATTGAAGCAGTCTAGATCTCATGGAAGTCATCATGTTGTGGGATATTTTGAAAAACATCATAAAACGTGACAAAACTACAGCAACTCAAGTGTATGCATTATACAATACTATAGTTTATATAGCTACATAGTTTTAAAACATGTTTTCCTGTTTGTAATTTTTAAAGGCAGCTTAAACTTGAGGTGAAAATTTCAATGATTGGGTAGCCAAAATCTACTAAAATTGATCATGATACCAACATGAATAAGACAGTTGGCTCAGTAGTCCATGTAACTGTCCATTGGGATAGTGAGAAGGTTAGAGTTTGAAGGTCCGAGTTGATAGAGTGACCATAGCTGTTTTGTTGTAATCTAACTTCTTACTAACCTACTAACATCCTATTGTGTGCACAAAAAAAAAATCATGATACCAATACAAGATTTTGATACAACTGGCATAAAGAAGCCAATGCAATGCTCTTTGTAAATGCAAACATGAATCTGAATACCTCCCTATCATATTCAACTTAGCCCGTGTCCTACCCTTTTCAAACATTCACAAGTCACTGTGGAGGAAACCAAGAAGCTAACTGAATAGTTTAGAAGATATAATTTACATGTGTATTTAGATTTCCTTAAACATTCGAAGTCGCAGGCTTGAAATCAAGCATTTCCCTTATATTTAACCGAATGGAAGGCCCCATTGATGAGCATATATGTGCACTTTTCCAGTATACTCCTTTTGCACCAGATGGCTTGTTTGTTTCTACTGATTTCTGTCATGTTAATTAAAGAAATAAAAAGGAAATACAGTTCAGAAATTGAGTACATATAATTCAGACAGCGCAAAACATGAGAGAGAGAGAGAGAGAGAGAGAGAGAGAGAGAGAGAGAGAGAGCATACTGCTGCAGCAAGCAAGTTCACAAGAAGATCTTCCTCAGAAAAATCTGACTTTCCAAAGGATAAGTGAACGATCCCAGTTTTATCTGCTCTATATTCAACTTTGCCCTTCTTGAATTCCTCTATGGCCTGAGACAAACGCAACCTGAATTCATTTCATTTCAGCAAATTTTAAGGGTGTAGGCCATCAGAGAACTCATATATTGTTGATAGCGCAGCGTAATGATGACCTTTATTTATTTATTTTTTATAATGATAAGTAAATCGTATTAGTTGGCCTCTAAGGGACATAAATCTTGCATTCACTGTGTAAAATATGTGTACAATCATTTACACGAAGGCAAAGTGTCTCCAGTATCAACAACAACAAGAAAACACACAGACCAGAACAAAAATAAAACTGATAGTGTTAAACGGTTCTCCCTTTTACTCAGCCAACCAAACAAGACCTCCAAACAAGGTCTAGCAAGAACTGAGAGTCTTCTCTTGCCTTCTAAAAGGAATACCCTTCCTTCGAATTACACACCTATGCCATGCCAAGTAATGCTAATAGCAAGAACTGAACTTCCACTGCAGCCCTAAAAAAGGGCAAGGTGGTCCACTAACAAGTCCAATTTGTAGTCATGTTTGCTCTCCTCCTAAGGCTGTCAACTACGAAAACTCCAATGGGTAACTAACCACTCACAAAAAACCCACCTTTGTAGAGAAGCTTGGCAGTGGCTAAAATAATTTCAATGATACAAAGATCACGATAATATTTAGTCATTTCTACATTTTTTTTTCTTCTCTCACAAATTGCTTTTCCTCGTAGTCTCATTTGTAATTGTAGGTGAAACACAACTTACGGAAGCTATACCATTAATGAATGAAAATTTAACACAAAATATCTCACCTCAGAAGTCTGGCATCAGGAAACATATCCACTAGAACGTAAATGTAGACATACATGCATACATACCAAATATGTATATATGAAACAAAAAGATCGTACCTGAAGTAAATTAGTTGTAACAGTACCAGCTTTTGGATTTGGCATGAGTCCACGAGGACCCAAAATCTTTCCTAGTTGGGCAAACTGATGGGACAGAAAAATGTAAATAAAGTCAGGCATACGAAATATGATCACCAGACAATACAAACACATTAATTTATGCATATGTATTTTTACCTAAAGGAAAGCACCAAATTAATTAAGAATAAATCCTACTATTCTAAGTTAAGCCAAATCCAATATTCCTCTTTGGATCCAACTTCTTTGCAATTCTTTCCTTCAGTAATTACAACTTTCTCTCTCGCTCTACCTTTAATTTCAATTTCCTTTAACTTGGCACATGTTGACTGTTTAAGTCCTTTTCATTGAGGCATAAGAACCTTCAACACATCCACATAGTTTCTGTTTGGATTGAATTTTAATCTGAAAAGGTTTATGACACACCTCAATTACATTTTTGTCCTTTGAAACGAAAAATCAGCTAACAAATAGTGATTCTGCATAAGTTTTTAAGATGGAAATTGCTAGAGGCCTCAAAATTTCTACCAAACGTTTTACTCACATGCATGTGGACCACACACTCATGGGGGGAACCCATACCCATGTGAGACATTTGGTAAAAATTTTGGTATCCCTAGCATTACTATTTTAAGATTGCCTAAACCTTTTCATGACAATGATCTCAAATCATATCCTAAATTTGGTATCTGAAAGCACAGCTGCAGAAAGAGAGGGAAAAAAAGGTAGAAAATAGAATAAGTACAAAACTTTGATCATAGGTAGGTAATGCACAAATCTCGCAATCTATATGAATACTTTTGCTGGACATGTTATAACCAAGTTGATGATGATTTTTCATCTAATGAGAAATCTCCAAACTTAAATTTGAATTTTCTGCTCAGAATTTATCCTAAACACTTTGTCTAAACAGGAGAACAGAGATTCTATTGGCATCCACATAAAAAAAAATAAACCAGACGCAGTCTATATTGATCAAACAAAACAGACCTTGGGCATCATATCTGGAGTAGCAATTAATTTATCAAATTCCATGAATCCTCCTTTTATCTGGCCTATCAACTCCTCTCCACCAACCAGATCAGCTCCTGCATTTTTAGCTTCATCGAACTTCTCACCTGAAGATATTCAGCTATGGATATTGAGCCAAGTAATACAACAGACTTTAAGAAGGAATGAAAAATAAAAAATGAGTGTAACATTGTCTCATTCTCAAATTCACGAGGCTATGATAATCTGCTTGTATGTAGCACCCTTAGAGAAGCTACAGGCTATGTGGATGCATTTTGACACGTGTGGGAAACATGGCATAACACAATGGTAAACATTTAATCAATGTTGGAGCACAGCAAGGACACAGTGCAAAATATTTGTAACAGATAAAAGGGGCTCAATTACAAATAGAAAAGGAATATGATTACCACTTAAAAAGTAACAGAATGATCAGCTTAAAATCAAACTGGTTCATAATTTCTGTTTTATCAACACATAAAAAGAATAGTTAAGACTACTTTTTAAAAAAGCAAAGATTAACAAAATAGAAACAAAAAAGTGGAGGCGTCCCATGTGCAAATGAGGTATATAAAAGCACCAAAAAATAAATCTACAAGAATCCAAAAGATATAAAACCAATATAATTTACAAATAGACACATTTGCCCAAAAATTCAAGACAAGAATCCAACAAAGGGAAAGAACTCTTTGGACCAAAAGATAATAAAACTGTCCAAATTACTCTCATGAAACAATGCCTCATCTCCCTCAAAATTCTATTGTCTCTCACTCCACAAGCACCCCATGAGACATGAAGGAGCTAACTACCACAACCTCATATTCCGCCTTCGGCAACCCCTCTGCCAGCACCCAATCAACTCTATAGCAGATTCTTGGCATCATCACTGCCACCAACATGCCAATGTAAGATTAAATGATGAACATTTTTTCCGCATCCTTTTTACACCTACAACATTTTTTCAATGAACCCAGTGTAAATCTAACATAATCAAGATAATTACACCATTCACAGAAACCCTTCAGGAGCTTAATACCCATGGTATGTATATTTGTCTTGGTCCTTTTGTCCTTGATAACTAGTTTTGTAATGCCATCACAAAACTGTGACCTAGTAATTGAAGTAGTGAGAAGAGAGTCTAGAGACACAACTCCCTTAAGGGTTAGTATCCAATGGAGGTTTGATAAATAATGTTTTTAAGTAGCATAGCTGCATAGGTAGTGCAATAGATGAGCTCTATCCCTATCCAACATGTCAATACTGATACTTTCAAGAGAATAACCTTTCTCAAACGGCGGGTAGCGGGTTGGGTTGGGTTGGGGTGGGGTGGGTTGGTGGATTGGCGGGTAAATTGCACATCCCTAATCGCAGGTTTATTCTTCTGTCCTCCTTCATTTTTCTTCTTCCTACATCACTACTCAATTTGTATTGAGAATGAATTCAAGTATTACTAACTTATTAAGATTTAACATGTCTTCCTTCGCTATGTTTGGATTGAGTGATTTGGAGAGAAAAGAAAAGAAATGGAGACATATGCATTTCTTTTACTTGTTTGGATAACTTAAGTGGAGAGAAATGGGAATAAATTGAGAAAAATTGAGAGAAGCTCATTTCTCTTATAAGCCTTATTTTCAATCTTTCCAAAAGGGGAGAGATTGGGAGAGAAAAGAAACCACTATTTTCATAATACCAATTTTGTTCCTATAAAAATAAAAGAACTAAAATGATTGAAAATATAAAAAGGTTATTTTGATAATATAACATAAAATAATTTCTTTTCTTTTCTCTTAATGAAATTTAACTAAACAAGAATGAGAGAAATCATAATCATTTCTTTTCTTTTATTTTTTTCTTATCTAAACAAAAATAGAGAACATTTCTTTTCTTTTCTTTTCTTTTCTTTTATTACTTAACTAAATCATTTCTTTTCTTTTCTCTCCTAGATTCCCAAAAAGGATGAGGGATTGGTACTTAGGAAACTGAGGTTTTTGAACAAAGCTTTTTAGAAAATGGCTAGGGAGATATGCTGAGGAAGATAAGGGTAGTGTAGAATAAGGATCATACTGTGAGGGCTAATAAAATTTGTACAAGTCTTTTGGGGTGAAATTATGGAAGAACTAAAGGAATGGCTTCCACATGTCCAACGCACGCAACAGAGTGTTACCTGAGTCTTTCTCGGAGTCAGAACAATGTTTCTTGTCCGGACGCCACTGATCACCATTATTGCCCTGAATGGCACCCCTTTTCCGTTGTCCAGCCTTCGGTTCCCCAATTCCTCTCCGACGAGACCGCTTTTTAGCTCTCGGACTAGTGATAATAACCGGTGAATTTCTCCTCTTGCGACGTTGTGCAGTTGGGCGAGAGAATCTACGTGTTGGTTGTGCCCTCCTAGCTTTGCCCCCGTGCTGCAAACAGACCCACCATCGACGCCACCGATCCCTACGGCGCTTTCGCTGTATTACGGGAGTTGTCAAATTTAAGTTTAATCTTGTGGATCATTATATATTAGTGTGGTGTGGAGTCGTGCTGCAAATTGGGAGTTAGTGGCATGGCATTGGTTTCAAGGAATAAGAGTGACTTTGAGTTAATTTTTTTATTAGGAGTAACTTATTATAGTTAGGAACTGTACCTAATCATGACGAGTTCTATGTGAACTTAAAATAGTATTGTGATAGCTTTTGGTAAATTAAATTTTAGAATAAGATCATTTCAGTGGATATGGAGATGTTATGTGAATTGTTAGTTAAATCCTAGAGTGTAATGTGGTTAACAATTGTGTAGGATAGAGTAGATATGTAAGGCTAATGTAAAGATTGTTTCGGCTGGGTAACAAATATTGTGACTTAAAGTTTTCAAGTAGTGTGGTTGGTGTGATTGTACTATATTTCAGGAGTGTAGGTGTCTCTTATTATTCGAGGTGAAGCAGCTGGGACTAAGGTGATTTGTGAATTTAGATTTGTGTGAAGTAATTCAGTAAATTATGTAATTGTGCTAAGTGATGAATAGAAGTTCTTATGAGATGAAATATTTCAAGTCATTATTTGTGCAAAAGTTTTGAAGAATGACTGAGGCAATGGTAGCCAAGAGGCACTATTGCCAATTGAGGAGCAGAAAGGCAACAAGTGTCTCGTTCAAGAAATTATCAAATAGCTTCACTCTATATGTGACGTGGTGTGTCCTTACAATTGTATCGAGTCATGTAATTAATATTTTTTACTTTTTCTCTTATGTTTTAGACAAAGTGATTAGGTGTTCTCTTGTTATAATATAGGCATACAGCGACATGGTAGAACGGACCTGTCAAATAACTTCTCGTTCGGTGGGTAGCACAATGAATGAAATTTATTACCAAAAATCACAACCGTTGGGTAAAAGTAAAACGGTTGGGTAACAAGCTGTGTATATTAAAAAGGGTAATGCTAGGGACACCAAAATTTCTACCAAACAAATGACCAAATGTCTCACATGGGTGTGGGGTCCGCAATTTTGTGGGCCCCACACCCATGTGAGACATTTGGTCATTTATTTGGTAGAAAATTTGGGACCTCTAGCATTTTCCTATTAAAAAAGGTTAGACCATGTCGTTGTTGGGCTCCAACGGTGCTGTTGGGCTCATGGGTCCACCACGGGTCTTGTTTTGAAAATCAAAATCGTTTAATGTGTAGAGCTTATCGAGTACTTTATCCCTATAAAAAATTACGTTGATCGGATATCGATCGCTATTGATCGGATCAGATTTTTGTCAACAATTTATTTTGAAAATTATATTTACCATTGACAGAAATTTAAACCAATCAAGTAGCTATCGATATCCGATCAACGTAATCTTTTACAAGAATAAAGTACTCGACGAGCTCCACATATTAAATGGTTCGGATCATTGAAACATGACCCATAATGGGCCCCCACAAGCCTAACAACACGTTCCAGTTCGATCTAGGAATGGAGAGAAGCCTGACCCTATGAAAAAATAGAAAACATTCGTAAGTCTTCACTTTAAAGTAGTTTAGTGAAAAAAATTAGAAGTAAATTTTTTTTTCATCAACCCATAACATTCTTATATTTCTGATAATGAAAAATAATGTGTTTTTGAAGTTCAATCAAAATAAATATTTAAGATTAAAACACTAATCTTAATTTTAAGAGAAAAAACCAAAAAAGAAAAATGAATCACCCACCTCATTAATTTTAAGAGAATTTTTCTCTTACAGTTTGTTTGGATCGAAATTTGAGGTACTTACGTATAAGTCCTAATAAGTAGACTTATTGTTTAATAGATCCTATGGAAAAAAATTTATCATAAAAAAAGTCACTAATGGTAAGTTTTACCCACAATTTATAAAAATCATGACAAAAAAAGTCACTAATTGTCAATTTTTAGTGACATATAAAAAATTGTCACAAAAAATTATTTTTAGCGACAATTTTATCAAGACTTATTTTCAATAGGACTTAATGGGAATTAAATCCAACTATTAGGACCAATTGGTAGTTTACCCTTGAAATTTTTGCTAAAAGAAAAAATAGAAAAAAAGAGTTCTTGTTAGTTTGTTGGATGATTAAAGCAATAAAAAATGTGAGGAAAAAAAAAAGGAAATTATTTAACAGCGGAGTAGAGAAAAAAATTACAAAAATATAGAGGATACAAGTGATTTTGTGGTGGGGTACAAGTAAAAAGTTTCATATTTGTGTGATTTGTTTTTTATGTCCAACTGATAAATAATTCTCCCCCCCCCCCAAAAAAAAAAAAAAAAAAAAATAGTGACAAACAAAAAAAAATTTAAACTCATGTTTTGATTGTCTTGACAAGTGGTGAAATTTGGTAAGGGGAAAAAAAATTTTAAACTCATGTTTTAATTGTCTTGGTTGGGTAACAAATATTGTGACTTAGAGTTTTCAAGTAGTGTGGTTGGTGTTAGGGCTGAGCAAGGAATCCGTGAAATCCGTAATCCGATTCAGTCCAGTCCAATCCGATAGATTTGGATTGGTTTTTTGAATCCGCGGTTCGGTTCCGGATTGAAGAATTAAAAATCCGTAGTCCACAGATTGGTTCCGGATTGAACCCCACGGTTCCGGATTGGAACCGATCCGGACCGTATACAAATAGTCTATATTTTTATTATACATCCTCCCCCATAGTATCTTCTCTTATTCTATATAAAATCTAAACTCAAACCTAAAACCGTATAATATCTTATTTTATTACTTTTGTTTGTATTTTCTTATGGTTGTTTAAATTCAAGAACAATATGTCACTATTATAGAAAAACATGTTCCTATTATGGAACTGATATAGCGCTATGTTTATATTTTTATGAAATTAAAGTGTTATATATATATATATTTTTGTTATTTAATTATGTGAATCCGTGGTCCTAAACCGATCCAATCCGTATTTAAATGGATTGGTTCGGATTGGTTCCATGATTTAAACGGATTGGATTGGTTCCAATTTTTCAGCAACCGTAGATAACGGATTGGTCCTGATTTTACCCCAATCCGATCCAATCCGAACCATGCTTACCCCTAGTTGGTATGGTTGTACTATAATTTGTGAGTGTAGATGCAGTTGAGGTTAAGGTGATTTGTGTGAAGTAATTCAAGAAAGAATGTAATTGTGCTAAGTGATGAATGGATATTCTTATGAGATGAAATATTTCAAGTCATTATCTGTGTAAAAGTTTTGAAGGTGGATCGTGGCAGTGGTGGTCAAGAGGCACTATTGCCAATTAAAGAGCAGAAAGGCAACAAGTGTCTCATCCAAGAAATTATCAAATAGGTTCACTTTATATGACGGGGTGTGTCCTTACAATTGTATTGAGTCATGTAATTAATGTTTTTTACTTTTTCTTTTATGTTTTAGACAAAATGATTAGGTATTCTCTTGTTAAAATACAGGCATACAACGGCAAGGTATGATGAACTTACTAGATAACTTTTCATTATGTGAGCAGAACAACAAACATAATTTATTACCAAAAATCCCAACAATTGGGTAAAAGTGAAACGGTTGGGTACTAGGTTGTGTAGATTACAAATGGTCATGTAAGAGGAGGTTGGTGTTTGATCGTGTGGGGGAATTTTGGAGTATGAAAAAATAGAAAACATTTGTAAGTCTTATAAATTTTTTAAAGTTCAATCAAAATAAATAAATTAAGATTAAAACACTAATCTTAATTTTAAGAGAAAACCAAAAAATGATAATGAATCACCCACCTCATTAATTTTAAGAGAAAATTTCTCTCTTACAATTTGATTGGATTGAAATTTTTGCTAAAAAAAAAATAGAAAAAAAGAAAAAAAGAGTTCTCTCATTAGTTTGTTGGATGATTAAATCGATAAAAAATGTGAGGGAAAAAAAGGGGGGGGCAATTACTTAATAGTGGAGTAGAGAAAAAAATTACAGTAAGTGATTTTGTGGTGGGGTGCAAGTGAAAAGTTGTGAGGTGCAAGTCTCACTTGCATCCCTCCATGTTTGTGTGATTTATTTTTTTTCTATCAACAGAGAAGTAATTCCTCTCCCAAAAAAATCAAAATAAAATAGAATAGTGACAAACAAAAAAATTTAAACCCATGTTTTGATTCTCTTTAAAAGTAGTGAGATTTGATAAGAAATAAAAATTACTGTTTATAAATTTTATAAATTAAATTGCTAATTTGAATTCAATAAAAAACAAAGAAAAAGAAAATAGAAAACACACATGTCCACTTTTATTTGTTGTTTGTCCAAATAAAATAGTATTTTCACCTAGAAAGAAACTATAATTTTATAAGAAAAAATATTCAGACTCACAATTTAAGTCGTATAATTTTACTTACAATGACATTAGGGGTTATATTAATTTTTGATTTGTCGGAAACTTAATTATGTAATGCTCAACATCCTTATCATATCATTATCGGTGAAAGATAAGTTGGCGTTTAGTAATATCTACGGTTTTGTTTATGTTTATAAAAAAATTATAAACTAGTTTTTGTTTATTTTTTTAAAAAATAAAAATTGCAAACATATTTGATTTAAACAAAATGTTTAAAAAAATTTAAAAACAAAAACGCAAAAACATATTTGTTATTTTAATGCATAAAATGTTTATTTTGTTTTTTAATTATTTATGATAATGAAAATCATACAAATCATAAAATTATAATAAATATCCAAAATATAAATATATTAATACAGTACCAATCATAGATGAATTTAAAAATTAGACATACATAATTAAGTTCTGTATTCCATGCACATGAAACTTAATTGATCATAATTTTAAATATAAAACAAAAAAAAGTATAATAATGATAACAAAGTGAATATATGTTATACATAAATACAAACCACAATTATAATGCTAGTGTTCCTTTTATGTATTTTACCTTCAGGAGGGGCTGCTTCCATGGATGAGGATGACGAGGAATACAAAGCACTGAAGCGATTACAAAGATGACTGGGACGGAGAACGAGAGATAGGGAAATTACAGACGGTCCACTTTCTTTTTGGATAAATTACACTTTGCCCCTTTATGTTTAGACAATTGCCCACTTTAGCCCTTAAAATTTATTTTTTCCCACTTTGGTCTTTCATGTTTCAAGTTATTCCCAATTTACTCCTTAAGTTAGTTTTTATTCAAAATTAGACAGAAATGGCACATTCACAATTGCATGGCATACAAATATTTTTATTATATACTAGTGGTAAACTTGTGCTATGCTCATGACTAGCTTAATAATGTGCAAATATTTTAATAATGCATTAAGTTCTAAGTTAGGTCATAAAATTATAGTCATAATGCATAGAGATCATCTTCTCAAATTTCATTAGTAAAGACAATAATTCAAAACAAATATTCACAATATGTTATTATCATTCAACAGATCTATTTTTCTTGAAATAATATACTTGATTTTTAACTAATGAAATAATACTAACAATAAGTAAGATATTTCTCAATGACCCTAATGTCTAAAACATATATATGATAAAAAACATTGATAATAAATTGAATGTCATAAATCTATCTATCTATATTTGTTGTGGGTTTATATATATTTTCAAGTTATGTATATGGTTATAAACATTTGTGGGTGTGTAATTTTTTTTATCACTTTATGACAAATATATTTTTTATTTTGAAAATTTTAAAATTGAAAAATTCTGTTTAATGTTTTGAAGCTCTTGTAAAAAATAAAAAATCAAATTTCAAATTAGATTTGTTCAGATAGACTTTAAAAAAATTTAAAATTTACAATTAGATATTGAGAGGTAAAAAAAGATTTTAACTAAAGAGATAGAGATCAATGTTAATTAAGAAAGATTTTAACTGAAGCTATATAGATCAAATTTATTAATTTTATCTGTTCGAATATCATATATATTTTTTTTGTATGTTTATTTTTTTTTAATTAGAAATTAGGGAAATTAGTAAAGGAGACTTGAGAAAATACCAGGTAGGAAGGAAAGTGATTAAGAGTTTAGTATTAAGGATTTGGAGGCATTTCATGTTCCACACTACATTTTTATAATATATAAGAAAATAAGAGAAAAGGGAGGGACTAAACATCTTGTAAATAATTTATTTTTATTTTTTCATATGTACCAAAATCACACATTAATATAAGTAATTTTGCCTTTCCTATTTGGTCTTTAGTTTTTATTTTTTATTTTTTATTATTATCTAAGATTAATGTTCCAACCATTGTCTCACACGACGTGAAACTAAAATTTTAGCAAGAAAGAAAAAACATGTGCTCATATGTATTGGACTAAGAAAAAATTGTGCCCAAAAAAATAATAAAAATTGAAGTGCAATTAACAACAGTAAATGCTGATCAAATGGAAAAGAGATGGGATAATGGAGAGGGAACACATTGCTAATACTCTCCATCTCATATACACCAAACCATTTGTATGATTCAAGATTCTATTTTATACACACCAAAAAAAAAGTGACCCCTCTTTACATGGGAGTCGTCTTTGATAAGTTTCTTGTTGACATATTGTTCTAGGACTTAAGTTGGCCACATGTACTTCAAAATTGAAATTTCCTCCTCATGGTAAAACTTTCTATAATTCCTCTATAAAAGCCATCTATTTGATCATTTCAGTAATTCTCGATTATCCTTCTCATTTATTGTTGTTTGTTCTCCATTGTGACTTAGGAGCAAGCTAGCCTTGGTTTAAGGCCACTAAGACTTGTGCTTTAAGCCCCAAAATTTGGTTCAAAATAAGACTCTCAAATTCGTTAGTAGTATATTTAAAATTTAAATAAGCCCAATTTATTTTTGTTGATTTAGGATTAGTCTAAAAGGTTTTAAAAAATTCTATTGGGCCAATTAAAACAAAAAATTTACCATAATTTCTCTCTTTCATAAACTATCAGATTTTAATTAGAATAAATAATTTTACCCTATGTCTTTATCATATTTTAATTGAATAAAGTTTACCTAATTTTTTCCCCCTAATTTTGTTTAATTAATTGTGTTCCATAATTTCTTTGCTATCAAATATCAGATAGTGAGTGGATTGTGTGTTTTGTTTGAAAATTTGATTATATAGTCATGTTTCATTTTCATTTATGTTTGGTTCACACTACTGGTGAAGTACAAATATTATCTCATTCTTCAATGTAATACAATGTGAAATCATTTATGTTTGCTTCACACCACTGGAATATTTCATTAATTCGATTTGTTGATTAATTAGTTTGTTTTGTTGATTTGAACTATACCTTTTGGTAACTTTTTTTTTTTTTTTGGTACTCTGGAATGAATATGTTAATCATATTGTTTGATTTTGATAATATCTAAAATACATTAGATCTATCATGATTTTTAGTAAACATATTTTACAATCTTTAACACAAAATATTGTCTGTTAAAATATATACTGTATGATGCATATGATCTAAATAATATTTAAATAGATTTCACTGTGCATCTTTTATTTTTTTGAAACTTTCGTGTGCTCCATGTGCTGTCTCCTCGTGATCCAAAACAGCGTGCTAGAGGAGTTTCTCCTCCTCCAATTAATATTTTTTCTACTATATAAGGAGTATTTTGTTGAAGAAATTCAGAAGTGAAGAAGAGAAGTAAAAGAAAAATCTGTGATATTTATTTGTTCTTAAAATATTATTGTGCTTCATTGAGTTATACTTTCTGTGAGAAATTTGTTGAGTTTTTGAGCAAAAATTGTAAAAGGGTTTTCATACCCTTCTTATTATTCTTGTAAAAGAGAGTTTTTGTGAGTGATTTTTCGGGATAAAATCACTTGAGTTGGGTGTGATTAGGTACCACAGTCAAAATTGGTAGGGATATTTTTGTGAGTGCTTTTTGGGATAAAGTCACTTGATTAGATGTAATTAGGCACCGGATTTTAACCTAGTCGAATTTATCAAGATTGGCTACTTGTTGTAAATGTTCACTAGCGCCTGCGAAGCTAGGGGTGTATTACTATTTGAAGAATAGTAGAGAAATTCTTGAGGAAGATGTTTGCGGAGTGGATGTAGGCTTGGGTTAAGCCGAAACACTATAAATCGCTTTCTCTTCCCTTTGCTCATTTTATTTAATTACTCTATTTTATATTGTTGAGCATTTTTATTTATTTATTATTTGGGTTAATTTTTAATTTAGCAATTTATTTAGAAACTCAATTCACCCCTCTCTTGGATTGTCTTCTAGGTAACAATTGGTATCAGAGCAAGGGCTCTATTATTTTTGGACTTAATAGTCTTAGAGCTGATCAATGACAACCATTATAAGAACCCAAATTATTGATGGTCGTTCCAACCCTCCATATTTTACTGGTAGTGATTACAACCATTGGAAAAATAGAATGATGATGTATATTCAAGGAACAGACTAGATGATGTTAAAGATTATTAAAAATGATCCAATTATTCCTTTGCTGCCATATAATAAGTATCCTATAAGTTTGATATAATTAAATCGAATTCTTTTTCAATAATATTGAAATGATTGAAATTAATGCAGCTAATCTGTGGACATATGGCAAATAAAAGCAGAATATATATTTTAATATAAAAGCATCGACATTTTTCTTTTTTCATCCATGAACCTAACAAATTATTAGTAAAAATATAGCCAAGTTTTAGGTAAATTAAAATCTCAACAAAGCTCAATATAATTATGTCAAATTTATAGAAGTCAAGTTAGAGGTTTACAAAAACTCTGTCCAGGTGTAGATTTCTTTTTAAGCTTTCTTAGTCTAACTATACGTAGTTATTAGCTTTCTTATTTGGAAGTAAATTTACAACCATAATTTTAACTGTACGAGAAATAAATGGGCTAGACAATTTCATTAAGAATTCCCTGTTAAAATGACTTCTATATCAAGTGTGGTGAAACTTGAATTCTCTCTTTAACAAGGAGTAGTTGCTTCCTCCTTAATAGTTTTTTGTATTCTTTTTTTCTTTTCTTTTTTTGTTGCTATATCCTCTCTGTTGGAACATAAAACAATTAATGCTGCCTCGCCTTGATGTGATTGCAGGAACAATTGGCACCTGCTAGTTATATCAAAATCCAAGGCATGTCATTTTTCAAATCATATGTCCTCAAATCTTCTTATTGTTGATTGTCCAGAATGAAAACTAGTTTTTTCCTGCTTACATCTATCATTGGGACACCTCAATTTTAATGAAGAATCTGGTTCTGAGCCATACACTCTGTCTGAAATTGGGATGGGTGCATGCATCTGAAGGTTTTTTCTCTCCCAACTTCTGGGGAGATTTTAGTGCTTAAAATTAGATAATGCAATTAATACATGTTCTAAATTAGATTAGCATCACCTTTTGGTTGTTGGCCTATATTTTCAGCTATAGACTCATGCTCATGCTTAGCAAGAAAGGACAAAATAAATAAAATAATTCATATTTTTCCGTTTTTATATTTTTAAAATTTTTGGGTTACACTTATAAAATTTTAGAAGAAACTAGAAAGGGGCTAATTTTTCAGATTTAATGAAACAATGAAGTATACGGCTAGTTTTCTAAATAGGTTAACTTCATGATCGTGTAATGACAAAAATGATTTATCATCGCATTCATTTACCCATTTACTTCACTTTTTATGTGTACTAATTCAATAAATGTCATGTGTTTTAGATAGAACCCATCACATTTAAGAAATGATAGAACCTATCAAGCCATATGAGAAGTCACATAAGAAATGAAAAAAATTAGTGAAATATTTAAGTGATATATAACAGTCCTCCATCCACAATTATTTAACTTCATGGAATTTGGAGTTCCCTCGTATCTGAAATTAAGTAATAATTTTAGATGATTAAATTTCTGCAAAGACATGGCAGTTCACATAACACTGAAAAAGCTAGCCTCTCATGAATATGATAATTTCAACTTTCAATTACCAAATGAGACCAATTGGGGGGAAAAAAACAAAAAAAAACAAAATTGTCGATGCTATGTTTTTTAGTTACTCCTCAAGAGGATGACTGCACAAATGCCTCAAACATAATTTGTTTTGAGCTTGCATATGACAATGATATCACTACAAGTTAATGCTCTTCAACAGCACATTACAACCCAAAAATACAAAGGTTTTGAAGCTAGATTTTCTGAGATCAATTTCAACTCAAAAGACAGTTAGACCAAAAATATATATATTGCAAACTTTCAATGCAACATCCAAAAATGCTTTATCTTGTTCCGTGTGGTGCACATGCATGTAAAAAAAAATGCAGTTTCAGTGCATAAGCCTCCTCCCACTATGAGGCCTGCCAGCACATTCGTAAACTATTTAAAAGGCTATTTTGCTTATAATACAGTCATAATTTGTAAACTTCTGGATGAATAAAAAAATTTTGTACATTCCAGGTTCAAGGATTTCAAAAGAAATTGGTACGTTCCTGCATAGCGCATTAGGATCTTGGTATTGGTGGCGACTTGTATGCACCTATGAGAATAGAGCAAATATTTTTTGGGGAAAACTTCTACAAATATAGAGTGATCTAAATAACTAATCTAAAGGATTTACATATCAAACTCATGGTTTCTACAATGTTACATGTCGTGATGCTATAAAATGTGAAAGAAGCTCCACAAAGTCTATGCCAATTGAAACTGAAAAGAGACACAACCCGAGTTGGATAAACACCACATGTCACAACAGTATACAATCTAGAAATTTACTTTTACAATTTACATGGAAAAGAGAAAACCCAGGTCTCAATGGCATTATCTATCTAGCTCAGACTCTGAATGAACTGCGTGAAAAAGAAACTAAAGGTGATATAATAGAGGGTAAAATTAGTACTGAAATAAACGTGAAGCATCAGAATTTTAAAAAAAAAAATTACACTATTTTGACGGCTCTCAATTAACCATGAAAACCAAAAAAGCCTTTCCGAACAATGCAAAGCAGAACCATGAATGACATACACACAGGCAATTGAGCCAAATGCCTCATAGTTGATGCCAAGACAGCAACTAGTTAAGTTTCTCGATGATGCTGAGCTCCAAAACTTTGGATGATTTCTGGGAGTTTCCTTCCTTCATGTTTATAACCTTTTGAAAGTTAATTCTCAAAACTTGGTCACTGATATATGGGGAACATTAGTAACAGAAATGAGCCACAAAACCAACCAGAAAAGCTTTTACACTATGGACTCACAGACTTTATAAGAGCTATATATAGACATTAGCTGAGAGTCCACACGAGATAGATAACTCATTTATTTGGATTTTTTAACCAATCAAGAGTAAGATTTTTAATCTTAACTAATCCAACTAACTCAATTTTTAGGTACTTTTTCTGTAGAAGAAAGTTTGCCTGATAATTAAGTGGTTCATTTCAGTTTACTGAAGACGAAAAATTACCGTGTTAAGGATTGTTTTCAATTCCTACTAGCATACATCAGTTTTGGTTTAGAATTTTTTCCTTTGAACAGTGTTTTGGTTTAGAATTTTCATTCCACTACAGTAGCTTAACAAGTGTAACCAAACATGGGAATAAGAATGGATGTTCCATTTCCACGTCATTCAATGTTAGAAACCAACCAGCAGAGTAACGATGAGTATTTCATTCCACACCATCTTGCATTCCATTCCCACTCTCATCCATCTTCCAATTTTGAATCAGTCCTTTTCATCATCCAAAGCTGAATCGCCATTAACACCACTAAGAACAAAGAGAACCGAGCAGATCCTTGTCGAGGGAAAACTTGAAAATCCACAGTTGCCTAACCTAGCAAATCACAAAAGTCCTTCACCTTTTAAAGGGAAGTGTAGGCCTCGGACTTCTGTCATCTTTAAGATTAAATCAGCAACTGTGTAGCAAGGGAAGTGTAGGCCTCTGACTTTCTCTTTAATTAACTCCAAGACATTTTCCGAAGAAGTTAAACCATTATTGAAGATAAGGTTACTTCTGGTTTTCCAAATGGTCCAAAAAACTGTCATGGATGATTATAGCCTCCCATAAGAGCTTTTTGACATACTTTCTCTTTAATTAACTCCAAGACATTTTCCCAAGAAGCTAAACCATTATTGAAGATATGGTTATTTCTGGTTTTCCAAATGGTCCAAAAAATTGTCATGGATGATTATAGCCTCCCTAAGAGCTTTTTGACATTCTTGAATTTTATTCCAAACCACCAATCAAGTAAGGCACTAACTGATGAAAAACAAAATCATTCCATTCCCCACCAAGACAAACCATCACCCCAAATTTTCCAAGATCTTCTACAGAGTAACTCATTCGCACAAATATTAACAGAGCCTAGAATAGGATTCATCCAGAGAATTCATTTTAATCAAAAGATCACAAATGGTAATCCTTTTGTGCCGGACTAGCCAAGCAAAAACAACAATTCCAAAGGGGGCAATGCTTTTCCACAAACTCTATTGTAGGAACAATACAACATTGAGATGAGGCATGTTTTGTAAAGATTTTAGTGAGAAGTTACCTGATGGATCCACTCTTAAAATTAATTGATCCATTGATTGGCATTAACCTGATCAACCTGTGGCAGCATTTGCAACAACCTATGATTGGCATTAACCCATCACATTAATGAGACCATCTTTGTTACATCAGACACCCATTTATCAAATACAAAGAGAATCTCATTCCATTTCTGTGACGATCGGGTCTTTGTTTCCTCTCTCCTTTCATCCTTCTTCACTCCGTTCTTTTGCTCTCGTTGAGTTTGAAAATGTCGGAAAATTTGTTTCAAATAAAGTTCTTATTCTTGTCTTTGTTCGGTGATTGAATTTCACCCGTTCCAGAGAGGGCGCGGTCGAGTCCAGGGTGCCCGGGGGCTGAACCAGAGAATTTTGGTCAGCTGGGCCAGGGCCGCACGTGCAGGAGGTCAAGCCGCACGTGCGGGAAGAGGGGATTTCAGTGTGTTGCACACTGCTTTAAAAGCAAGTGCGGAGGAGGTGTGTGCGGGAAGAGTCGCACGTGCAGGGCTGAGGGCCGCACGTGCGGGAGAGAGGCTCCGCACATGCGGGACGCTGGGCAGTCAGCACGAGCCGCACGTGCGGGACGCTGGCAAATCCGAAAACTCTGTTTTTGTTCACTTTTTGGCCGAAATAATCTCATTTTCTAGCCCCTCACTCTCACTCTAAAAGTCATATTTTCTCCTCCTTCTCTCTAGAAGACTTCCTCAAGCATTAAAACTCCTTGATTCTTGCAATCTTTGGGCCAAGATCACCATCATCTTCCTCAAAATCTTGAAGATCAAGAACTAGGGTTCCTCTTGGTGTAGTGAGGGTTGAAGGATCATCCATCTAAACTAGGGTTTCTCTTCTCCATCTTCTCAAAGACCTTGAGGTAGGGACATTCTTGAGTTATATATACAAGTTTTGCTCTTTTGTTGATGCTTTAAGAGTTTCCTTCTAGTTTTGATGATTTCAACCTTGTGATTTAAAAAATGTAGAGATTTTTCAGAAAGGGGTTTTAAACTCTCAAAATTTTTGGTCAATCTTTGAGGGTTCATCTTGTAATCTAAGAAAGATGTTTTGATTAGGGTTTTCACCAAAGAATGGGAAAAAGTATTTTTTGTAGGTGATGAAGAACCCTAGATTTTGGGGATTTTGAAAAATAAGAAAATATTTTATGAAATCCTCTATTATTTTGTGTCATGAAGATGATTGAGAGTAAATCTCATAATAAGTTTGACAAAAACGGAAATCTATTAAAGGTATGAGAAATGAGATGTTATTATAACATATTTGTTAAATTACTTGAATATGTGTTGATGGAAAGTTTTTGACTTATAGATATGGAGAATTTGTTTTAGAAAACCATGATTAAAGACATGATGAAGTTGTTGAGAAATTATTGTTAAATACTTGAATATATATATATATATATATATATATTGCTATGAAATGACAAATTGATGTGCATAATGAATTGTGAGAATTATGAATAGTGGAGATTAATACTTGAAAACCTCACATGTGGCTTCGAAAGGATTAAATTGATGAGAAATTGTTGTCGTGTGTTGAAGACACATGGTTGTTTTGCGAAATAATGTGGAAAAGGGGAAATGAGACATGTATTTGGTTGTTATTGTTGTGATGCCATATAGAAACGGAGAAAGGCTGTGAAACATGGAAATTTATTATCTTGCACACTCATTTAATTAACTATCATGCATTGCGTAATTTGAATGGAAAACATTTGTTTCTTGACAAGAACATATCTATTGTAATGAGAACAACATAAATGTGTAAGGGGTAAATACAGTGGTAAGTGCGGTTAGGGGGTGTAGATGAAATTTGTTAAGTTGGCCTGAGTGTCCATGGTGAAAGACCAGAAGACCGCACGGATAAATGTCGAGCCTTCCGGTTAATATCGATAAAAATGACAGTTTGGTAATACTCGTAGAGTCTACCTGCAGACACCAGCCTAGGGATTACCAGTATCGTATTCACGGCCCCCATTGATTTAAAATTGGAAGTTTTGAAATGTGTTGGGATTGCAAGTTTTTATTGAAAAATGGAAATCTTTGAGAAGAGCATGAAATGAAATTTTTTAAAAAGAGCATGGCATGGCATTGACATTTGCATTTCATTGAGAATTGCATAACTGTATATACTTTGTTAGAATTCTCTACTGGGCTTTATGCTCACCCCTATGGGACTTTGGTGCAGGTAAAGACGTGGTGATCCCGACAAGTTGAGGGCGTAGATAATTGCAAAGAGTACATAGCTCTTATTTTGTTGTGATCTTTTTGTAAGCCAAGGGCTAATGTGTTTGGATCCGAGAGACTATTTTGTGTAACCAAGCTATTGCCTTGGAAGATGTAAGCCCTTAAGGGCATTTTTATCGTTTTGAGATTTGATGCTTCACAGGCTATAGATTCATGTATTCCTTTATTTTGTGAAAGCATATCGCATGTGAACTTTTGTATAAACTCTCTTATTTATTTACCATGTAAAGATGGAAGGTTTATTGCCATGTTATGTGAATGTTTATTAATGTGGGGATTTCATGTTGAATTATTTCGGGGCGTTACAATTTCCCAATTTTAGTAGCACATTATTGGGGACATGAAAAAAAAAAAAAAAAAAACTGTACTATCCTTTAAGAAATGAAATATCCCATCTCTTGTTGTCCCAATTTATCTTTTCAGAAATCACTCTTTTCCAAAGGTGATTCGGCTCAGATGCAAACGTGCACCACCACTTAATCAAGAGAGCTTCATTCTTAATTTTTAGATAGAACTACCCATAACCATAAATCTATGTAATCAATCTTTCATCATATGAGATTACACTCACTGTAATTATAGTCACGGGGTTAGCATTCAATGTTGATTGGCTCGATTTGTTTTGACAAAAAGACTCAAGTTAAACTTATAGTAGGCAGGGCTGAGGAGGCTGTTCAAAGATTATGAAGTATTCTCTAGTTTCCTTTGCCATTTCAGGCACAGAATTACTAATTTATACAGTAACTTTGTTTATATGATTTGAGTTTAGAAGGTGAAATCTTTTCACCCTTCTCTTTTAGAAAAAAATTCTCTAGGTGGACATCCCCTCGGCAGAACTTGTAAGTCTTAGATACTTCAATCTTTAGTTTGCCCCGTCACTTACTCACTCACTCACTCACTCTCTATTGCTGCAAAATGTGAAAATATGCTGACTGCAACTGAAGCCAAACAATACTAATCAAATTTCAACACTCAGATTATTTGAAGAACAAAACATCATTTTTTTGGGGTAAGTCAATATATACCAAATATCAAAAGTAAATACATAGTACAAGGTGCATACACGGACCACACAAACAAGGATGGGAATCATCTAAGCAAGCAAAAGATGAGGACAATACCATTTAGTCAATCTAGGCCTCGTTTACGTCTGACATGAACATATGTACAATAGATACAACATGCAGACCATGAGAAGATAGCAATAGCTGCACAGAAAGGCTAGAAAGAAAAAGCAGCAACAACAGTAGCATCAGCATAAAACCAGTCAATTTTTTTTTTTTTTGATCGGCATAAAACCAGTCAATTTATGACTAAGCTTTTATATGTGACCCATGCACAAAAGCAAATAGAGTTTGATAAAAGAAGCAGCACAACCAGAACCAAGGAAACAACAACAACAATACAGAATAATCAAGCCACTTCATATCTAGATTCATCAAACCTTCTTTCGGTCTTCAACAAGATGCAACATTTCTTTAAATCAGATGCAACATTTACTTCACCGGACGCAGTAGAAAATGATTGAAAGAGTTGATACCATCCTTCGGAGGCTCTTTTGGTTTCCCTAGGATAGCAGTAGTTGGGGCAAAGTAGATAAATGAATGTATTGAACCGTAAATGAAAACGATAACAACAATGACAAAGAAACTTCTTTTTTTTTTTTTTCTTTTTTGTGATAAATACATTGACAAACAAATATTTGACAAGCATCTACCGAAACTTAAACCACATGAAACCTAAATAACGTTTAGTTGGCATAGATGACATTTAGACCTTGAACAATTTTTACTAAAATCTGAAAACACCACAGGGAAAATAATAATAATAAATAAAATAAAAGAGTGGTTTAGCAACAAACCTATGGTGAATTATGATAGCACTAAAATAAGTAGTCTATGACTCTTTGACAGGAAGGAAAAAACATTTCATCATAAAACTACTATTTGCATAAGCCTCTAGTAATGCAAAAATGAGAGCAAGACTTTTTTTATATACCAAAAGAAGTTATTATATGTCACTAAAAGGTATAGAGATACACAATGCCTAAACATGGTGATATCAAATATGAACAATGGAGTCGGTGTAAGCAACTAAGCATATAGCCATATCCATAACCTATGGTAAAATTTTAAGTTTCTTCGATAGTCATGAGAAGACACAATCGCTAACCAAACCAAATCTCTATCAAATGAAATACAAGGCAAAACATCAAGTAAAACCATGTTACATGCTTTGGTGTGTTCAATTTTTCAAAAAAAGCTTACAATTTTCATCATTTGTTTAGCCATAAAGATTACATAGTACATATGTTAAGTTAAACAGAATTAATAACCAGCTTAAATTTATTGAAATTTTGATAAATAAATGTGAACAATGGCCAAAATCATTGCATCACATTGATATTTACCTGCTATTTGAAAGGAAGGGTGTGTTCAATTGGTCAATTCTTGATAGACTCTCAGGATATATAATGGATCAACCGGCTCATTTACTTCATGTGAAGAATTGTTATTAACGAAAGTTGTATAAAGGAGGTGTGAGGTAGGACTACAGAAAATAAACATTGGTACAAAAACAAACAAACACTTTGTACAACCAACACGATGAAACAATATTTGTGCAATCCATACTTCGATTCTTTATTTTCATTTGAAAAAAATTGTTTTAGTTGTACATGCATAACCACAAGTATGCCCAATATAGTGGCATGTGTGTGATGCAAGCAGAGGGTGCTGCATGTCACATATTCCAATGTTGATTTAAGAGTTCAGTTTGAAGCAGAATCCATTTCAAAAGCTACACATACAAAAGAGAACATGCCCGTCTCCTTTTAGACTTCAATGAACAAAATGAAAATCATGTCACAAACCATTATTTGATGAGTCTACCAAATAAATGAGGTCACGAATTTAAAAACTTGACAAACCTCACTCATGTTCTACTTCATCAGTACAAAATCATAGGTGGAGAAACAATTTTACAAAAATAAAACAAATAAAGAATATCTGAGATACAGAGTCAGATTTGATAATGCTTACATTGAGCTTTGGAAGAGCAGAAAGAAAGAAATAGAACTTCAAAATTAAAGAACCCTTAAATTAAAGAACCCCTAAACCACACTGTCATCCATAGACATCACCACTTAAGCAGAAAAATTGCTGAAAATTGAAAAGTAATTGGGTTAGTGACTGCCACAAAACGGAGATCAAACAACATATGTAGACGAAGCAAAAAGACATCAATGATTCATGGTGAAAATACATAAATTCTAGTTAAGTAATCGATGCTCCAACCCAAAAATTAAAAAAGAAAAAGAAATATATGGTTGACTATTGTGATTGGAAATGTGATCCTAATTATATTTGGGCTGTTAAAGTGAGAAAACAAATTACCATTCTGCAATATAATTTTTATTTTTATTAGAAAACAAAAAGAGTTTATGAATAATAATGTGAATCATTACAATCAATGAATAAACACGGGGAAGGGATAATAAAGAACAGAAAGAAAAAAAAAAAAAAAACAGGCAGCATACAAAACCACCTAAAATTCCGAACATAGACCCAAAATCCCTATATGAAGAAGAATATAAGGGTTGGTTGGCAAGAGACCAACAGTGAGAACACTAGAAATGGAATTCTCTTGTTTTTCAATATAATATATATATATATATTTTTAAGAAATTAACTTGGCCTCTTCATCTTCAACCTTCATCAAGTTAGAGCATCTCCAACCCTTCACCAATTTTTTCATCTACTTTGACTCCAAACTTGAATAAAAAGTTTGATTTGATATGAAATACTCAAATCCTTACATCAAAATCTTCCAAAAAAATTCCTCTGTTATCCCAATTTATTTTTATTTTTTTTATCAAATTTGATGGAAAAAAAAATCATCTCAAATGCTTCATCTTTTTTTAATTTTTTTCAATTTCAACCCTTCAAATTCAAATTTTTTTTTGTTGTGATTTTTTACATTTAAAAGGGAAAACTATTATGATAAAAATAAACATAACCCAACCTCCCCATATATATATTATAAGTAATACACAAGCTCTGTTGTGATGAGATGAGGAGATTGCGACACTGTTAGCATTGATAAAAATAATAAAATAATAATTTTGATATATTTAGTTTGGGTGATTTTTGAGGAGTGAGTACTTGGTAGTTTTGATTGCTCATATTGCAGTTTATTCCTCTACCTCCTCTCTACTTCAAAGATGTATCTGTCGTCTATGAAGACTGCAGGAATGGGAGTGATGAAGAGATTTCGAACATATTGCTCGAGCGAAACACTTCACTGCTCTAGTGGTAAAAACAATGTCCCAGAAGTTTTGCACGTCTACAGTGAAAGTACTGGGAGCCTCACATCTACGCTCGAGTGAAGACTTGATTACTCAAGCGGTCTTGCCTGTAAACAAGCAAGATATTGGGAGCCTCGAATCACCGCTCAAGCGACCACTTGATCGCTCGAACGGTCTCCCATAACAGAATGTTACAATCTTCCCCCCTTAAGGAAATTTCGTGATTCCTGTCAACAACAAAACCCAACAACCCAATGACGTTCAACACCATACTAACAATAACCACAACCGTCAATAATGGAGGTCCGATAAATAATGTTTTTAAGTAGCATAGTTGCATAGGTACTACAATAGATGGGCTCTATCCCTATCCAACATGTCAATACTGATACTTCCAAGAGGATAACCTTTCTCAAACTGCGGGTAGCGGGTTGGGTTGGGGTGGAGTGGGGTGGGTTGGGTTGTGGAGGTGGATTGGTAGGTAAATTGCACACCCATAATCCACGGTTTATTCTTCTCTCCTTCTTTATTTTTCTTCTTCCTATATCATTACTCACTTTGTATTGAGAATGAATTCAAGTATTACTAACTTATTAAGATTTAGCATGTCGTCCTTTAAGGATGAAGTATTGGGACTTAGGAAAATGAGGTTTTTGAACAAAGCATTTTAGAAAATGGCTACGGAGATATGCTACAGAAGGTAAGGGTAGTGTATATAGCGATCCCGGTTTGCCCTGACCTTCATTGTGTCCCAGACTTGAGTTCCGTGGTTGAATATAGTATACATGTCATGTTTTTCCCCTTTGACTCTTTGTATTTGAGTTTTGAAACTTGCTGGGCGTGTTTGGAACAGGTTTGTTGTTGATTGGTTTAGATTGTTGTTGCCCAGATTTTGACCTCTTCGCTAGAGCAAGGCTTCTTGCGCTCGAGCGAGCCTTGTGTAATTAGCTTCTTTGCTCGAGCAAGGTTTGAGGGTCATCAGGTTTCTCTCCCAAACGCAGTTTTTTTGGGAAGGGGAAGTTCTTCGCTCGAGCGAAGCTTCTTGCGCTCGAGCGAGTTTAGTGAAATTGCTTCTTCACTCGAGCGAGACTTCTTGCGCTCGAGCATGCGTGTGCATCTGTGGCAGACCTGAAGCTTTGCATTCTACGCTCGAGCGACGCTTCTTGCGCTCGAGCGAGGTCTCTGTTGTGTCAGGTTATTCGAACGACGACTCCTTCGCTCGAGCGACGACTGCGTATATCAGTTCGCAGCAGAGCTTTTCTGCATCACTTTTTGTATCTCTTTCGCCCAAAACCCTAGCCTAGCTTCTTCTCTCTCTAAAATACTCTCTCTCTCTCTATAAATACACCTTGATTTGGGGGTCTCTCAACCCTGGTCCCTTTGTTAAAAAGGTAGAGCAACTCGTGGGCTTCCATTTGATCCAAGAAAGTTTGAGTTTTGGGCATCTTCAAGTTTCTCCTTCTTCCTCTTTGAGCTCTACATTTGAGGTAGGGATATTCTACGCTTTAATATGGGTTTTAACCTAAGTATTTGTCATTTTGTATAAATTGTGGAATTTGGGAAGATTTTGGTGAAATTAGGGTTTGGGTTTAAATTTTGAAAGAGGGGTTTCCAATATTTGGTTTCATACATGTAGATGAGGGCTTAATTATGGTATTATAAGAAAATAAATGGTGAGATTGGGTCTTGAGGATGATATTGGGAAAAGGAGAAGGTTTTGCCCTAATTTGTGTTAAATGACTATTTTGAATAAATAATGAAATTGACATGGAAAATATGAAATTGGAAGGGTGTATGATTGAATGGTGTAATTGGATTTGTTAAATCACTCACCTATGAAAATTTGGTAAATTATCTGTTTGATAGATTATATATCTATTTAGAAATATCTGTTTTGGGCTATCGGTGGAGGATAGCTATGATTGTTGTAGAAACTGCATGTGGATTAGGTGAATTGAAACTAATCAATTGAATTATGTCATTGAATATGACGATTTGATTAAACCATTAAATATGTGATGTGATTAGTCATTGTATATGAACATTTTTTTTTTTTTAAAATACATTGTATATGTATCGTTGTTTGGGAGGAAATAGGGGATGTACTCCACTATTTGGGAGGAAATAGGGGATAGACTCCATTGAAAATTAAGTTGGCCAGAGTGTCCAAGGTGAAAGTCCCGAAATCCTATATATATATATATGGGTGCTGGTTCCCTCGGATGTGATTCCGTAAAATGGCAAGAAATAGAAGTGTTGGATTGATGAATGTATTGAATTGTGAACCATTGAGTTGTAGTCTCATTTTGGTTGTTTTGATAATAATGAATTTGGTTAATAGGTTTACCCGAAATGAATTGAGATATTGGTTATCTATATCGAATGGTCTTGGAAAGAATGTGTGTTGTTAAGCATATTGCACATTGCACATTTATCTGATGCTTATATCTTAGTTAAATCTCATATATTGTTTTAGCATATCTCTACTGGGCTTTGGCTCACCCTACTTGGAAAACCATTTTCAGGTGCAAGTGACATGCCGCCCCAAAGAACATAGCCTGGGAGGTTTAGGAGCTGAAGGCTCCATTTTTGTTGTTTTGTTGGTGTTAAATGTTTATTCAAGCCGAGGGCTTTGCTTGTATAGAGACTTGGACTCTTCTTTTGTTGTAACCAAGCGAAATCTTGGAAAGGCGTAAGCCCGTAGGGCATTTATTTTATTGTTACCAATTAGAATTACATGCTATAGTTTCAAGATGAACATTTATGAAAGTGTAATGCGTGTAATATCTTTTGTAATGTAGACTCTGATGAATGAAAATATAACATTTCTATCATATTTGTAGATCTTATGAATGGTTGATTTATATCATATTTTGAGGGCGTTACAGTGTAGAATAAGGAATACTGTGAGGGCTAATAAAATTTGTACAAGTCTTTTGGGGTGAAATTATGGAAGAACTAAATGAATGGCTGAGAAGAATTCTCCAAACATATTTACTTTTCAGTAGGAAATTTGCAAAGATGAGATTTCACGATGATTACTGTATGGTAGTAAGCTCCAAAGACTAATAGTTCCAAATCTCTTCAAAATCACATCATACAAGGAAGCCATGGTACCAGGCAATGTTAGTGGAGTGGATGGTACAGTGGTTTGGCCTAGTTGTATAGGGCCTTGCAAGAATGAGACGTTGACATGGTGGAACATCGCCATGCTTTATCCCACTCTAGTAGATACCGAAGGGGTAGAAGGCTTACTTTGTGGCAAGAAGTCACAAAGCGTAAAAATTTTAAGGTTTGACTCTATTCTAGTAATATTCCTAGCCAATAATCGACCAAGGCCTTCCTAAAGTGTCCCTTCTCTTTTTCCCTTGATAGATATCAACATTGGAAAGAATTACAATCTTGACAATGTGGTGAAATGGGAAAGTGTTCAAGGAAATCCAGAAAAAGTTAATAACCTATTGGCTAAAGCCTAAACGCTTCTTTTGTTTTCATTATTTAGGATATACCTTACTAGAGCTAACAACTCAGAGTGGTCATCAAGTGAGGATAAGAGTTAAACATTGATGGATGGTGGGCTCCTATTAGTGGTATGCCCTAAAAGCCCCTTGTCATTTAATTAATAAAGGGAAAAGTTTTATTTTATCATACTATCTTTATTGTGCTATTGTTTACATTGCAAGTCCATATAATTAAAGTTCAGAATTTGTGTCTTAAGAGTTAAAATTGAGAGACATGTACTTCTCAGTATTTTATTCTTAAAAGTTCCTAGTTATAAGATTAGTATTTGGATGTTAGTAATCCAAACCAAATGGACTAGCACTTGTTATGCTTGTTCAATTGGAAGAGGGAGTAGTCTCAAGTCACTTGTGTGGGACAATCAAACAACCATGTGTGTGTTTGTTCGAGAACAAATGACCACCCAGGAACATATCTAGTTCGCTTATATGTTATAGTTGTGTGTGCAATCGTTAGACTGAGAACATCATGATTATCCTGTGTGTGCATTGCTAAGTTTTGACAATACAATATGTTTATATTCTTCTAACAACGAAATATGAACCTGTATAGATAGGGCTTAGTGAGACACCCATGGAGGCACGTGAATATTTAAGAATTGATCCATCACTCTCAAGTAAAGAGATATAATATATGTGATCTTTTAGGATATAACTCGAGAAATACCTTGGTCAAGGCAAAGTAATAATTAGAAAGGAGTTTCTAATTTCACCAATACAAATTGATATGGATTAGATTAGACACATGATTGAATTAGGGGTTTGACAAACCTCAATGTCCGAATGACCTTTTGAGACATTATACGATGAAAGGATTGAATGTATGGTAACTGTTAGAAGGGCTCATTTTGTATATTCATAATATCTGGTATGTTCATAATATATTGCTTGGTGTCACTCAAGATTTGTGGAAGCCCAAGGAAATGTTCCATGGGACATTTAAAATTCATAATAAATATCAAGAATTTATATTATTTCTACTACACAAATAAGTGTGAACCTAAAATTTCACACACAATAAGGACAGCCTGTAATATAATAGAATGAAAAGAGTTAATTCAAATTAAGTGTTAATCAAGGATTTAAATTAATTAAGAGTTTCGAAAAGCAGTTGCAGTCGCCGTAACAGTTGCAGTTGCGGAGTGTAAAGGCCGTAGAGTAACGGTTGCGGTAACCGGAACCGTGAATTTTTTAATTTTTCACACAATTTGAAAAAAAACTTATTGATACGCATATTTTTTTTTTCAAAATAAAATTTATTAGGGTTTAAAATAGATTTTGATCAATTTTTGTTAGTTTTTAAGTATAATCCAATATATTTCATATTTTTAAATCACTATAAAATGAGCTTTTTACATTTTATTTCAATAGTTAATGACTTTTAAGAATAATTGATTTTAAATGTCTATAAAATTATTTTTGACCAATACCTGAACTAACTAAATAAAAAATATTTACAATTATTAAATGAAATTATTATAATAAAAAAAATTTTGCCATAAACAAAAAAAAATTTTGAGTTAATGATTTTTTTTAAAAGACATTTTTTTAGACAACACTTTACAGCTAACTAAATAAAATTATTTACAATTAAGTATTAAATGAAATGATTATAAAAATAAAAATTGTGCCATAAGCAAAAATTATTTTTGAGATTTTTTTTAAGGACATTTTTTAGACAACACATAATAGTAACAAAATAAAAAATATTTACAATTAAATATTAAATGAAATGATTATAAAAATAAATACAACCACTGTTTATATATTTTTTATTTTACACGCTAAAGTAATGAAATAAAAATTAAAAAATAAATTATAAAGAAAAAAAATTCATACAACATTTTTTTTTTAAACTCGAATCACTTCAGTATTTGTTCTTTTTTAGTAAGTTTTTTTTTTCTGAAAGGAAGCTATTCAGAATATTGTAACGGTGTGTAACAGGCCATTACGATACAGCTACGGCTGTTAAGTAACACCGAAACAGCGTTACATATGTGAATTTCCGTCGCACCACAAAAGCGGATGTAACAAGTAGCGCTTACCATTGCAACCGTTACGTAACGGGCGCAACCGTTATGTAACACCGTTTTAATTAATGAGATTATTGCAATTAAGAGTTAATTGTGATATTACTTGTTAATTGTAACATACTTATCAAAAAACAAAAAAAAAAACATACTTGTTATAAGGTCAGGAAGATCATCAATCCTTGTGGGACAAGATAGGCTTGGTCCTCAAATATGAGAGCTATTATAAGAGCTAGCACTCCAGAGATTGACATCTGCCTCTCATTGTCTCTCTAGAATACTTGTGAGCTTGACAATGCCTTTGTTATAAGACTTTTAGAGGTCGGATGCTTGAACTACTTTTGAATTGGAGTGAACTCAAAAATCAAGCAAGGAACTGAATTTTGTGTTTGAGGTATTGTTCAAACTATTTCTATGGATGTTTGTATCTATGTTTCATATATATCACAAATATAATCATGGGGATTGAGAATCAAAATAAATTTTAAATTCCTTTATGCCTAGCCTAGGTACACAATTTCCAACAGCTCCTCCATGCTTGTATTTGGATGGAGTAACATAGGCAATCTTTTGAAGGGCTGGAATTGCCTGATCTGGCATTAAAACATGCTGATGTGAGATCCCCATATTTGGTTAGCAGGGATTAGGGAAATCCTCCTTCCATATTGATTTTTCTGTTTAGAATTTGGGTGGAATGAGTCTACAGCCGACAGGCTTGTTTTGCCTGCTAATATACATCTACATCTTATCCTATGTACATGGTTGCACCCATTTGATGCATTTTCCTGACAGAACATTACTCATTAAAGAAGCCAAGAAAAAGAAAAAGTACCTACCTTGAGTGAGAACAGCCACTCTAACCGTCTGTCCAGTTCCCTTGGGTAAATTCACCTATCATGAAAGAATTAGAACAACAGCAGAAACTAATTGTAGTCCATGAGATTGCTACCATATTTCTCATTACAATTAATCAAATGCAGGGAAAACTCACTGTTGCCCTCAGCTGTTGATCATTGCATTATAGGTCAATGTTGAGACGGAAATGAGCTTCAGCTGTTTCGACAAACTTTGTGCTTGCCATTTGCTTGAGCAATGATATTGCTGTTTTTAAATCATACTCTTTCTTGTTTTCCCTCAATTTTTGAATTTCCAAGAATCTCTTAGACCTCCTCTAATAATCCCAACAAAAGGAGGATAAGGAGTAAGTTAAAAACGCAGCAACAACATGAATGTGAAAGTAGGAGACAGGAATGTGAAAGTATGGGGGTAGACAACTTAAACAAACAAAAGACGAGACAAGACCAGCAACCACATAACAAATATCACGTTCATGATTCATGCAAAGCAAATTTCTGATTTAAAAAGGCAAAATATGTCAAGAATTTTTAAACGTGATATCTTCTAGCTCTTGTTCTATAACAATTTACAATTTATAATAATTTAAAACACAAGGGCTTTTAATCATTTTGAATAATTTGAGAATTTAGATAAAATTGCAGAATTATTGTTAATATTCAAGACCCGATTATATAAAAGGCATTCTTCTCAAATGAGCATGAACTATGACATAAAAAGGTGTTCTCAAAACTTGAGAATGAACTAATACTCTACTGCAACCACAACCTGTATAGCCAAACTTAAATAAATAAATAAAGGGCAAAACCACTAGACATAGCCAAAGTTTGTAGATAATCAAAATATGAAGAAATGAAGAAACAAAAATATGACATACAGTCTTTTTCAGATCCTACAATGGAGGATTCTAAGGGATTGAAGTGCTTAAGTCGTCATTAAGATAAAAGTCAAGCAAAAACAAGTAAATAAATGACTATAATACACCCACAATACATGGTTTCAATCTCTCATATTGGTTTCCTATAACTAAAACTGCAAAATAAACAGAAATCAAACAAAATTCAATATGTAATTCACTGCACACATCCACAATCCAAGAAAAACAAAATAAATACCAATTAAAGTAGGTCTTAATTAGCACAATCTATCCCCAACTCAATTATAAGATTCTTGAAACTAAAAATTTTACAATCACAGTTAAAATAAATGTGAAAATCAAACAAACCCAGCAAATAAAATCACTAATGTGTCCACAATTGAAGAGAAAGGGAAATAAGGAATGAGATTACACATACTTTGGCACTCTTGAGGCAATGCAGCTTTGCCTTTCTTGGGCTTAGTTGGGGTAACAACAACACGACTTTCCACAACACCCTCTTGGAGGAAGACGCCGTGGGAGAGCATGAGAGTGGAGGGAGTTGCAGAGGAGGCCATTTTTGTGTTATGATTTAGAAAGAAATTTTGAATTCAGCTTTTGAATTCAGTTTCAACTTAGTTAGAAGTTTGTTAATTAGTTGGGTCAGTTAGTTAGAAGTTTGTTAATTAGTTGGGTCAGTTAGTTAGTTGGGTTAGTTAGTGGTTAGGAGAAGTTTGTTTGTTAGTTAGTATGGGATGTATATAGCTATGATTGAGAGGGGAAATAAGGGAGAGTTTTTTTGGACTGTAATCAGGTTGTATGTGAAGAGAGTGAATAAATTGCAGATTCAGTTTTCTGTTTCTCTCCTCTTCTTTTTCAATTACTGCTTTCTTCTTTCATAGCCATATCATTTTGTTAGTCGAGCTACTTTCTCTCTCCGTCTCTCTCTAAAGATGATAACGTTAGGGATAGGTTGTGTACGCATAATTTTTTTTTTTTTTAAACACCTAATGGGAATTTTTTATTGGATATTTATTAATAAATCCTACTTGACTTATCGATCTGTAGCCCTGTTTATTTTAAGAGGTTAAATGGAAGGGATTGATAGTGAAGAGATTAATAGTGAAGAGAATGATGGTGAGGGGATTAAGTAAAATTGTGTTTGTTTTGATGATAATTATTAGTATAGAGATTGTTAAATTATTGTTATATAAAATAAATATAAAATAATAAAACAAATAAAAAAAATACAAAAATATTAAACATTAATGTTTTAAAAAAAATGTCCAACATGTACAAAATTTTAAAAATAAATAAAAAATAAATAAAAAATTTCCATAAAAAAATAAAGCAAATAAAATAATGATTTTTACTTAACAAAAAATACAAAAATTAAATATTAATGTTCAAAAAAAATACCAGACATGTAAAAAATAAAATAATAAATAAATAAAAATAAAAAATTTATAGTTCGCCGGACTATTTTTTTAATACCAAGTCCTGGAGGCCCATCCGAATCCCTTGGGGAAGCCCATCCTAATCCGAATTTCATTATTAATCTCCTCTCCATCTCTCAAAACAAACACAATATTAGTAAGTCTCACCTCACTACCAATCTCAATCCCCCCTCCAACTCTCCAAACAAACGGAGCCTTAGTTCTATAATTATTTTTAGAACTCATCAGTCGTATTTCATATTAAAATCTCTTAAATAATGAGTACTTACATTTAAAAACATAATAAGATAATAGTACACATATTAAAATAATGTCTCATTGTCACATTTTAAAAATGATACATTTGTCAAAAAGTTTAATAAAACAATAATGCATAAATATATCATTGTCACATTTTTAAAGAGTGACATACGGGAAAAAGTTTAATAAGACAATAGTAGACACATTAGAATGATATTCCATTGTCATATTTTAAGAATAATATATTTGACAAAAGTTTAATAAGACAATAATGCACAAATATCCCATTGTTACATTTTAAGAAGAATGACATATTAACAAAAGTTTAATAGACAAATAATGTATACATTAGAATGATGCCACATCGTCACATTTTAAAAAAGACACATTTGACAAAAATTTAATAAGACATAGTACACAAATAAAGCTTATTCACATTTGGAATATTCAAAAAATATAGTAAAAAGATCTCACGATATACTTTTTCAAATTCAATGGGACTTAGTGTACAAGAAAATTCATAGGACTTTCTGGTACATACTTTTTTGGGATGGGACTTTTGAATAAATTTCTCCTTCTTTATTTTAATAGAATTAATTAAAAAATAAAATTTTTAATTTTTTTCATAATTTAGTAATTTTTAAAAAAAAAATTAGATGCACCTAACAAGTAAATTTTTGTGAAGAAATTTTTTTTAAAAAAAAATTAAAGGTAAAAAAAAAAATTGGTATATTTTCGTATTTTTTGTCTTTAGGAATTCTTTTATTTTATTTTTCATAAATATTTTATTTTTAGATGCATCTAAATTAAAAATACTTACAAAGTAAAAAAATTTAAAGAGGTTTATTAAATACAAAAAAAAAAATACTTAAATAGTTTTTAAAAACAAAACCAAACATATTGATCATGTCATTTTAGGCATTTAATTCAAAATGGTATGTGTAAGTCAAATGTCAATTTTTTATCTATTTAAATAGCATATTCTTAACAAAATATTTACATTGATGTAAACTTATAATTCAAGATGGCAATGTATCATTTTTCAGTTGAAGGTGTAAAGTGATATTGGATGGTAGTTCAATGGGCTAAAGTGTAATTTATCGTATGAAAGGGTATTTTCGTTATGAAGGTCTAAATTGAAAAGAAAAAATAAATAAATAAATAAATAGATGAGGGGAGTAAGGCGTTACAAATTTTAGTTACGTCGGTAAAATGATATAGAATAATTGTTGAGGGAGTGTAATTTATCCAAAAAATATGAATTGAAAATGACCTTTCTTTTTTTGATAAATTAGGGTGTCTGAGCCAGTTTGTGTGCACCTTGAATAATTCTTGGGTGACCAATCCCACCGTCCACCAACGGAGGCCCAACTAAAGTCAAAGCAGAATTCTGTATAAAATGACCCAACACACGAATTAAAAATGACCTTAATACATAGTTAATATATGAATGCAAATTGATGTGAATTGAAATTTTTTTGGTGTGCAAATGGAAGCTCTCTCCAAATTCCAAGTAAAATGACTTTAATACCCTTTTGGCCCTTTGCCTTTTTTTCTTTTTTGCTTCTCTTTTTTTTTCTTTTTATTTATCAAAAAAAAAATTATATATTATACACATAATTTCTAATTAAAACAACATTAATTTCCCATGAGAAGAATAAGTAAATTCAATTAAATAACAAATTAACCTTATATTCTTAATTATTTATTTGAATTCCAAGTTTAATAAATTGCCTTGCCAACCCTCTACAGGCATAGTGAAGGATAAGCTTATTTGACATTATACCAAGGATGGTGTCTTTATAGTAAAGTTTGGTTATGAGGTGGCATTAATATTGAAGCGTAATCGCATGTTGGGAAGCGGGGAGAAAAGGTGAATGAATGTTGTTATTAGCAATTCATTTATTATTTTGAATTCTTCATTTTTATAGACCTCCATTTATAAATTTCAAAATCCTTAAAATTTCTCTCGCCTCCTAATAATGCCAAAAATATCTTTTTAAAAATTTTACACCTACTAAAATAGGCACCCCTCAGCACACCCTTAAAAATCATTGATCTTCCAAAACCTAAAAAGTTCAAATTTGAACTTCATCACAGCGATCTCTTCTCACTCTTACAGTAGTATCTCTATCGCTCTCTCTCTCACGATGAATCTCATAGAAAGAAAGACAAGTTTCGCAAGTGAAGAGAAACTTCTCTGTTGATTTGAAACCCATCTTCACAAGCAGTATCTCTCTCTCTCTCTCTCTCTCTCTCTCTCTCTCTCTCAATCCATCAAACTTTAAGAAATTCACTTGTTCAAACCTGTGTTTCCAAACAAATAACCTATGTCCGGACCTGTGTTGTGGATCATATGACTGATGTTTGGCCCTATGTTCCCGAATCTTAGAAAACGTGAACTTTTGCATATGTGCACGAGTTTGACCCTTCAAAATTAAGAAATTCCTTGTTTGGACCTGTGTTCTCGAACAAATAACTTATGTTTAGGCCTGTGTTGCCGAACAAATGATTGATGTTCTATCACACCTCAACTTTTTAATTATTACTCAGAAACATTACCAAAAGCCTGTAATTTAGGTCCTTTTTTTTTTAATGTCTATTATCCTTGAGTAATAGAAACAAAATAATACATGTTCTCTCTCTCAATGAATATTATAATGACAACAATGCATGCCAATCTCCTATTGTGAAGCTACAAATAAATAAATACAAATACAAGATCCATTTCCTTTACATTTACTATGAAGTTATACAAAGGGACTCAAGGACTCCATAACTCTTCAATCAAAGAATCCAAACTTTCTTCTTGTAAAAAGATAAAACAACAAGGGGTAAGCACTAATGCCCAGTAGGGATCTCATAGTCCTACAACAATAGCTAACACATAGATAGAAATGATCATGCATGCGGAGTGATACCATATAGTAAGATGACATTTTTGTAAAATATTATACGAAGAGTATCTTTTTTTCTTAAAATTTCATTTGGACTTTTAAAAAAACTCCCTGCCATATACGTAGTCTCTCATCATTAGCAAGTCATAAATTCTCTTTGAAAACAAGTGCACTTAAGAAAGAACATCATCTTAAATTTATTAATCCGATTCTAAATTATTCCTCATTTCATTTCCATTTTTCCCTTATACTATTTCCAATTACTATACTCCATAATGTCAAAATCCAAAGATTAGAGTTCAAACATAACACAAGAATAACAAATCCTTTTTAATTCAATTTCTCAATTATTTACAAAATAAAACTCATAATCTTCCCTTATAGTCACAAGCAATCCATTAAGTTCATCATCACCAATTCCTAATCTGATTACCATTTCATTTTCCATTCTTTTCAAATAATTTCTATTTTCATTTTCCTTTCATGCCAAATTACACATCAAATTGAAATTTCACGAGTTCATCACATGTCACACATATTATTACGAACTCAACATGTTCCTCAACACGTTCCACCTTTAGCTGACTTAATACAGCGGAATAGCGGGCACCCAAACTCATAACACCTTCCACCTCTAGCTGACTTAATATGGCGGGAAGTGGACTCCCACCTTTTAGTTTGAAAACATCTCCACATTTGCCGACTCCCAAAACGGCAGGGCGGTCGGCACCCAAGACATCACAACCTTCCACATTTGTCGGCTCCATAAACGACAGGGACATGGACATCCAAAATCATCCGTTTTCCACATTTGCCGGCTCCAGAAATGGCGGGCTCGTGAACACCCAAAAACATATTCCCACATTCGTCCGGCGGTATGCGCATATAGGGCAATTGAGCACCTTAACTCCCCGAGCGGGTACCAAATTCAACTAACCCAACACAACTCAACACAACCCAACTCAACTCAACTAAACACAACTC